AGAAAAATAAAGGAAAAAAACCACGCGATCATCAACGAGAACAACCAGTCCTCCTCATTCGTGAAGAAACGGAAAGGAGACAAAAAAGCACGTATATATATATATATATATATATAAGAAAAGGAACGACGGAAAAAGTTCTATTTCTCTGAACCGATATCTCGAGATACGATGACCTATGTTATCGTTGACGTCAATCTCGAGTCGAGTCATATCCGAAAGTCCGTTCGAAAAAAAAAACGGAAAAAGAAAGAACTCCTCTGCCCCCACAACCATCCTCCACCCCCCTAAACGATCACGACTACGCCAATGTGCGACGAGTAGAACGTAGAATGAGAAACGAAAGGCTAGCAGAGAAGAGAAGAGAAGAGAAAGAGAAAGAGAGGATGGCTAACAATGGCCGCCAACCAAAACATCCGATAAATCTAACTGGCCCGGACCTCAAGTCCCGAGGGGTTTTAAACTCTCTCACCCTAAACGCCGACGCGGACGCGCAACCCTTACATTACGCTACACTCAGGGAAAAGGGTGGCACACCGTGAGCCCACCATCACCAACACACACACACGCATATAACATAGAGAGTACCTCTCGAGTCGTTTCTAGGGTGAGTCTATGACGTGCGAGCCACGAAAAAGCGAAACCGAAAAGCGAGAGAATTTCTCGTCCGATTTCTCACCCTCCCAGCCCTCTCCTCCTTCCATTGAAAGCCCTTTTTTTAAGTAGAAAGGAACAAGGTTCGCGAACTAACGAGATCACGGGTGGATGAGACGCGTTTTGTGGTCGTGTACCGATCTCTCTCGAATTTGTTTCGCGGCCTCGTCCTAATTCGTTTGATTTCTCTCTCTCTCTCTGTTTTACTAGTTTAAAGTTTGATGATCTCTTTTCTGGCAACCGAATGGAACACGGGCACTCGGGGTGTCGTCGGTACGTAAACTATCAACGTTATGGTCCTCCTCTCGTTTCTCTCTGCGAATATCTTTAGAGGAAAATAAAATCGTTCGAGTTAAGATCGACCTGGTTTTCGTTTATTTTTTATCGACGAAATAAGAAGAAACATTTGGATGTTACTCGGATACGTACGTGTTCCTATAACTCGAAATAACATAAGGAGGGGGTGAGGAGGGGGAGAGGGAGATATGTTAAAGAGTAGAACCGTGTGCGTGCCTCTACTTCTTTTCGTAATAATAAATGGTGAGACGAAAATATGTCGTCGGAGAGGCGAGAAACGTAGGCGAATAAGCAAGCATGCATTCACACATAAACACACACACACACACACACGCGCACCCGCATAATACAAGAAACTCGACTTATCGAAAAGTCGTACGGTTAGAATCAAAGAACGATTCATGATGGAATGCGTGAATCCTATAAATTAAACTAAAACGTAAAACCCTCTTTATTTTTCTCAATAATCTCGATTGGTCTACGATATTTACGTCAATCGTCGTATGGCACATGCGTGATGATCCGTCCTAAGAGATAATTTATTCCTTGTCAGGATTATAAAATTAGTCGTTTATAGCGTATTATAATGTATCGAATTTTAATGGCTCTCTTTCCCCCCATTGAATGTGTGTTCATAAATCTTTCATCAACTCATATGTTACATGGAATGAATATATGATCCTTGTAATTGGTAGTTACGGGTGATTGTAAAAATATTGTAGAAAAATACCATTGTGAATTAAATTTTCTTTTCTTTCTTTCTTTTTTTTTTTCTTTTCTTTTTTTTCTGGATAATCACATTTGATTAATGAATTAATTAGAATAACGTCGATCAATGTGGTTGAATAAATTATTGTTTCTTTTTCTTTTTCTTTTTTTGTCTTTTTTTCGTAGACATAATAACTCTTGAATTTGACTACTTTTAAAATCATTCGTAACCTATTTAATTATCAATTCACGTCGTAATTCTTACTTTCTTTTTACATAGTAACGATCACGTCGCGTTTTATAAATATAATGAAATTCGTCTGAAGAAATAACGAGAAAAAATTGTGGTGATATTAACGAATCATAATAATTAATCGAAATTGATATGGTACATTCTCGCATTAGCATGAATTATAATAAGTCTTGGTTCTCGGTATTACCAAGAGAACCGATGATCGTAAACGCGAGAAACAACTTCGTTATTCGTTTGTATTATATATCTGGAACCCAGTCGTCGAAAGACAGGAAGGTTGCTTGAGAGGCGTGGAATAGTTAGAGGGATTATGGCCGAGAAATATTAACTCAGACTGTTACATGGATAATCTTATGAAATCGAAATAAACGATTGGAAATAAATAGTTGTATATATACATAAATATCACAAATATTTCAAAAGGATTAAAAATTTGTATAACATTTACGGTATTAATTTTGCAATCAATGATTTTGAAGAGAGAGAGAAAGAGAGACCTCATACAATTTTCAAGAATCTATAATCTGAACATCTGCGGAATTTGATTATTATTTAAATGAATGTGAGAATATATTTAAAGTCGCGTTTATTTTCTCTTTAATATTTAACGACGATCTATCTATTAATATCTGATCAAAAAATATTTATTAAAACGATAAACAAATATGTTCATATTAAAATACAATGACGTGAAAAGAAAAGAAAAAATAAAAGCGCAATTACAATTAAATTCAAGTTATTCTCATTGCAGAAAATAAATGAGTACTATCGATAAACCAATAAAAAAAAAAAAAAAAAAGAACAAATTGTCGATCGACCAACGAAATAATAATCGACAAAAAAAATTCATAATAAAAATGATCTTTAAAATAAATGNAAAAAAAAAAAAAAAAAGAACAAATTGTCGATCGACCAACGAAATAATAATCGACAAAAAAAATTCATAATAAAAATGATCTTTAAAATAAATGAAATTTTTGATTACAGGCACAAGAAAAACAAGGCAGAAAAATAATGAAACCGGAGGAGAGAAATCAGAAATAAAGAAAGAGAAGAGAAGAGAACAACAGATAGGAAGATGAGGGAATAAAGAAAGAAAGAAAGAAAGAAAGAAAGAAAGAAGGAAGGAAGGAAGGAAGGAAGAAAAGAAGGAAGGAGGGTTTTCGTTCGGGTAGTAGAAGCGGTCCTCCTTGTTCCCTCCCTCCTACGGGATCGGCCGTGACTCGCGCGTTCCGTGGGCGGAAGGAAGAGGAGCAGCAGACGAGAGGAGAACGAGGAGGCTCCAGAAAGAGGACAGACAGGTCGGCCCGAGAGAGGAACTCACGGCTGCCATGGTTACCGTCGCAATCCCGCCTCGCCTCGTTGCCATGGAGACTCCTCACGTCTCTTGCCCTCTCAGTTTCTCTCTCATTCTCTCTTTTTCTCTCTCGCACGCACGTACACACACACACACACACAGATATATACATCTAGAAAGAGAGAGAGAGGGAGAGAGGGAGAATGAGAGGACTAGTACGGCAACCTTCTCTTCTTCTCTTTGCACCGGCAGAAGGACCGTTCTTCTCTCTCTCTCTCTCTCTCTCTCTTATCCTATCCTTTTCCTTTTCGAGAAAGAGAGAGATGGATATAAATATATATATATACTTATATACACTTACGCAGGAGGATAGACGCGCATGCGCATGCGATATATATTTCCCCGTCTTTTCGTGATGAACCTTTACGTACCCGTCGGAATGGCCCGATTACTCATTCGATTACTTATCAACGAGAGAAAGTGCTCTCTCTCTCTCTCTCTCTCTATCTACCCTACTTTATACTTTACTTTCTATTTTTCTTTTACTTTTTTCTCTCCAACTTTTTTCGAAAAAGATTCGTCAAATTTTGTTCGCGTTCTTTCTTCCTTTCAAATAATCTACTATCGTGAATTAGTTATCTCAAAATCAAACTTAATATAATAATTAACTTTGAATTTATACGAACACATTCCTTGTGTCTATAGTTATATTTAATTTCACAAAGATTTTGAAGACAATAATAAAAATTAAACGCTTAAAGCGTATTTCTACGAGATGTGAGAACACAAAAATGTGTATAAATAAAAGAAGAAGAAGAAGATGAAAAAAAGGAAAAACGTAAAAGAATATGGAAATAAGTAAAAGACTTTCCGATGGGTCGAATCTATCAAACGAACCTTCGTCGCAATTACGGAGCTGGAATAATGATCATTATTTTCGTGCGATAGCAGCTGCTGCTGTTGCTGCTGTTTTGTAGTATACGTGCGTCACCGTACTCGAGAAACGAGAGAGGAAAGAGAGAAAAAAGGAGAGACAGACAGATAGATAGATAGATAGAAAGCGAGAAAGAGAGAAAGAGAGAGAGAGAGAGAGGTGTAAGCGCCCTGTTTTATAAGCCCCGATTCTGATTGGCCGTCGCGTCAGCCGATATCAATATTTATTCAACGCGGCGAATGCTCGAGGCACGATTAAAACTTGTTTATGCTCCGTTCGCGATTCGCTCCTCCCATCGTTGTGCTATGCGTGTATGCTACTCGCCCTCCTCTTCCTCTTCCTCTTCCTTTTCCTCATCGTCAACAAGAATAAGAGAGAAAAAGAGAGAGAGAGAGAGAGAGAGAGAGAGACAGGCCTCTTTGCATATGGGTATTACTACGTACACCTACGCCTCCCCCTTTTTTACCACCGTCTTTTTCCTATCTCGTCGAACGTACGCGCAAACTAGCACTGATAATATTCCCATGATTAATGGCATCGAAACGGAGAGTGTTCACGCGCGCGAAAAAATGTCGTTAAGTGTACCGAGATATATGTATGTATGTATACGTGGAAGTGTGTGTTTGCATATGCAGGAATACGTGTTCCATATATAGTTAAACTCTTTCTATCTAACTTGCGAGGGTTGATTGAGATTGATACCAAGCTGGTTTCTTCTTCAGGGTGGCTTGTTAACTTAGCTTTTGATATGCTTCAGATACCCCTATGTATTTTTATATATGTATATAGATATATGGGTGTGTTAATATTTATATTATATACATTTGAATGCACTTGATTTTTTCTTATTAACTTACCGGGACTGCCGAGGAAGACGGAGGAATAAAGGACCCCACGACGCGCTGCATCGCTCGCCGCTCTTTGCGCGTCCGGCGGCGAACTCCATTCTCTACGCGGACACCATTTTCCTGTTAAAACAAATCATTATTATTTTTATCATATTTACTTTCATCGACAATTTCGTATACATCGATTTGGATTCGTAACCAGTTCATTTAAAAGAAAATATAATTTTCAAACAAATATTTACGATCATAATTATAGCTTATTTAAATTGTAAAAATCAATAAGGTGTTCGATGCAGAATTTCAAGTAATTTCTTTTTTTTTTCCCGAGACTAACACCTTCATACCTGAAATTATTTATTAGATGATAAATTATGTTACGAAAAAGATATCGATCGAAACGTATTGACGAAGAACCGAAAAAAAAAATAGGTGACGAAAATGATATAGTTTCCTTTCGTTTCTTTTTCCCTGTCCCTTTCTCTCCCTGTACACCGAGAACCGGAAACAATAAAGTTGTGATAAAAATAATTGAATAAGCGCGGCAAAGAGCACGTCCGATTACAGAGCGTTATTCGTTCGATCGTTTATCCGCCTAACGGTGCAGCACGATAAATGCATCGCGCGCTTATCCGCGAACGAGCGAAAGTCCGATAAAAAATTTATTATCACGGAATAAACTCCGAAGCGACGTGCTGTAAAGTAAATAGAAGTTTGCTCGCGTATGTGTATGAGAGAATGAGAGAGAGAGACAACATTTGCTTTTATCTCCAAATTTATATTCGGGGACTACACGAAACGTAAGTTTAATCGACTTCCCTTTTTTAATGGACGTTCGCGATGAGATTCACGAAAAAACAAACTTCATCGTATAACATTTCGATTAAAACAAAAAATATATATTATTTTATTCTAACAATCGCGAACCAATCCTTCCCTTCCGTGCATTATTATCACTGTCATTAACGTCATTAATTTTGATATAATTGATATCATCATTAGTATTATTATTATTATTATTATTATTGTCTACTAAAGAAAAGATAAAAGAGACGAGAAGGTAAGTGCAATTTTCCGGATGCGAAAATAGGAAAAGGCGTCTACTTTATTTCCACGTAGATCCCGAGCGAATGAGGATACACGGTAAGAAAGGGTGCCACCGTACGGGATAAGAGTAAGCCACGGAGCGAAGTAATTTCGCAAGGAAGAGAGAGAGAGAGAGAGGGAGAAAGAGAGAGGGAGAGGAAAAGGTCTTGCTGGATGAGAGAGGATATAGTCTTATCTCTGGAATATACCCTCCTATCTCTACCTCTTCCCTCCCCTTGCCATCCCTTCGCTTACTCTCTCACTCATTCACTCATTCTCTTCTATTTCTATGAAAATTATATCCTTAATACGTTTGCTACCACATGTCACTTAGTTAGACACGTACGATGTAGCAACATTTCTTGTGACAAGCCGATGTCTCAAACACATACACGCACGCATATATACATAAGCGTATACGCTTAACATTAAACATGGGAAAAGTATGATAAAAACCGAAAAAAAAGAACAAAAATCAAATTCCTCCGTGAACGATGGAATGCATGAAAGAGCGTCTTTATTATTCCATAATTCTCTTAGAAAACATTGATTAGACGGTCCGAAGAAAATGATAGGCCCTTAAAACTCGGTTGTTGCGGTTAAAGTAGGTGGGACAATTCGTGGTCGAGACCAAAATGACGGGTTATGGCGATTATTTTCGAATCACCTGAGGCAAACATAACAGCATAAGTACAACACATATGAATGATAGTAATAACTTGTTAAGAGAAAATCTATCTAACACCATATTGAATGATTTTTCGTAAGATACGACTGTTCACGTTTTATTGAATAAAAATGGAGTGAATTTTTTTTGGATTTAAATAAAAACGAATCCATGAAACTGTTCTATTATAATTCTGATCGAACGGGGAAGGGTAAAATCCAAAAGTAACAACGGTATCGGTGGTCTGTCTCTGTGTCTGTTTTTACACTTCTCTCGATGTAAAGTCTCCGAAATTTTGTCTCCTTTTTCTATCTGATATTAGGTATACGTCGAGACGAAAGAAAGAAATAATATATCAGGATTATATTCGAAGACGTTTCTTCGTCTGGTTGGACCAGTACGAGCATCGTGCGTCACCGCTATTTCGAGATTCCACTGAACGAGTAGAGAAAGAGAAGAAAAAAAAAAAGAAAAGAGAGAGAGAGAGAAATAGAGAGAAAAGAGATACTTTTGTATACCTGTAGTAAGAATCCTAGGGCGATGAGAAAAGATTTATAAGCGTTCGGAGACAGCTTGTAATCATACGCTTTGGGCCCATTAACCCCACGAGTTCTGATTTACCGTGGGAAAATATGAAAAATCTTTCTATTCTCTAGCGTAACGTAAGTAAGCAAGCAAGCAAGCAAGCAAGCATGTACGTTAGTAAGTAAGTAACTAAGTAAGAGTCTAAGTACTTAGATATATCTCTCAAGGGACTCATACGGAATTCTTCTAACAATTATTCTTAAGTATATTGAAAATAACGATAATAAGAGATGGTATTTAAGTAAGATCGTAACATTGACTCCAAACTAATCTACTTGATCAACGCACAAGTCGTTTAAAAATATTTTCTTATTATCTTGCCACAATTTAAATCGGTCTTTTATTGCACGCGAAGTAAAAGTTTAAATAATATTTCTCGTTTCTTAATCGTAAAGGAGATTCTTTGGAATAACCAATCAACTCAATGAGAGAGAAAAGGAATTTGAAGAAAGAAAAATAAGATTGAGAAAGAGAAAGAATAAGGGGGGGGGTGGGTTGGGGAGGATTTGCTAAGTGGCATCAAGTGAGACGTCTCTTTTGAACGATCGCCGTGCGTGGCTAAATTGCGAGTTAACTTCGGTCTACGGGTTCGCGTGTTCGCGACAGTCATGCCACGCGCCCGAGTCATGTAGAAACCAAGACCAAGACCAAGACCAAGAAGGCAAAGAAGAAGGGAAAGAAGAAGAGGAAGATGAGGAGGAACGGTCGAACGGTCGGGATGGATAGCAGCACGATGACCACGTCATCATCGTCCAAGCAACCGACTATCGCTTTACTTTTGCATCCGAATATCCAACTTGACGTTTATAAATTGAAATGTAATTCGACTGGCACGCGACCGACTTCTTCTCCTTTTTTTCTCTCTCCCTCCCCCGCCCCAATCTTTTTTCTTTTTATCTAAACTATTCGTTTTCATTCCCCCTAAAGTGATACGAACAATTTCTAATTTTTCTATTTTTGTATTATGTATATACGTATGTTCCTTTAACTCGTTAATCTGGCGAGTGTCCGAAAAAATATTTATGCTCAAATGTTCTAGTTTAATAGAAAGATTTAAATAGTGCATTCTCAATAACCCCATCAAAAGAGAAAGAGAGAGAGAGAGAGATATAGAGTTTGCCTCTTTGGTATAAATAAATCAATATAACTTGCTTTCACCCTCAGACGCCGCCCTCTTTCGCCGTAAGGAAGTGACGTATGAGGCTCGCATCTTCGGGACGAGGGTTGAGGAGGCAAGCCTGTTATTTCACAGTTAGGCTCGTCCTCCATCTCTCTCTCTCTCTCTCTCTATCTTTATCTCTGTTTCTCTTTCTCTTCGTCCTATTCGGTCCCTAGTCCCGAGACCTGCGTTTCCAGCAGAGCACGAGTCCCACGGGAAGCTTTTGTCCTCGAGCTGTAAGCGACTTCCTGACAGGCCAAGTTTGCACCTGCTCTCCTTCTAGTTTCTCAGTCTCTCTCTCTCTCTCTCTTCCTCACTATCTAACGATCTATCTTTCCCTTTCTAGCCTTTTCTTCTTCTATCTATCTATCTATCTATCTATCGATCTATCCTTCTTCTTAAGCTCTATCTCTCCCTCTCAGCCACCCACCCACCACCACCACCGATGTTGCAGACGCATAATTTATTCGAGGTTGGCACCCTCTTTCTATATTTTTCTCTCTCTCTCTCTTTATTTAGGACGAAAGTAATCCTCAGATCAGCGATCGGGGATAAATGAACGGGTGTTGAAATTATTTTCTCCTGGGAAGATTAGGCTGGGTAAAGCGGATTTGATATTTTTGAAAATCAACAGAAAAATAGGAGGTGGAGGAGGAGGAAAATAATATAAGATAAGACGAACAAGAGAAATTTTGTAAACGTTGAAACGTCGTCGTCGTTGCGAAATCGTTTGTCTTTGGTAAGAGACAAAATGGAAGAAGATGAACAGAAAAAGAAGAAGTAGAAGTAGAAGTAGAAGAAGAAGAAGAAAAAGAAGAAGAGGAAGAAACGGGAGGTGGCCTCCTCGCAGATGTTCGAGGAGAGTCGAGTGATTAATGACGACCGATAAACGTAATTTGTTGCGGGACCGCGGCTCGTTCGCTCGGCTCGTCTTTCGAATTCAAATAGATAAACAGGACGCGCCGGTACTCCGTAACGAGGGCCGCGCGAAAGGATCGAATTCTCTCGCCGGCTGCTGTCCACACAGAGAATCCGAGAGGACAACTCAAAAGAGAGAGAGAGAGAGAGGAGGAGAGAGAGAGTACTCGAGCATAGTAATTAATTGTATGCAGCACGCCGCGCGATTTTCGCTATCTCGCCGACTCGGTCTCGAGTGTGTAACCACCTGACTCTCTGTCTCTTTCTCTCTCCTTTATTGCTTCTCGCGATAGCGAATGATTTCAAACAAAAAAAAAAAAGATTATTCTTTAAAACTAAAGTCCCTACTTCTTTTTGTGATATCTGTACAATTTTCTTTTTATTTCTCTTTATAATTTCCCAAATAAATTATATCGGGATTATTAATATAATACATATTTTTTGCGTGGTAAATTTTCTTACTCGAAAATACGCAACATTGGTAACGTTTAACGAGCGAATAGTAGCGTACAACAGACATAATTGTAAACGAATTGGTGGGACTTACTTAATTGCTGAGGTATTCAAAAGTATGGACGATTACGATAAGCGTCAAACGTGGAAAGCATGGCGGCATTAGCGAATGGAATAAAGATAAGAATGAACGTTTCGCGTTCGACTGGCAAGCAAGCAAGCAAGCTGCGCTTGCGTCCACGAACATACACAAGC